GTTTAAATCAACAACCAGCAATACATTAGATTTAGAGAATAATACACGCGAAATGCGGAGAATACGTCTACACAAGACTAGGAATACAGTACAGGCATGTAGGTACAAGACTTCACAATGGCTAAGTGCGAAGCTTGGTCTTAAATAGAACACTTCTACTGCACAGTGGAAATGAACAACAGGTGCTGGTGATAATTGAATAACAGGCGAAGTGCAGTCCGGGTCTTAGTAGACTGGTGAGCTGGACGGCTGGATGCATGGTCTTACAGTGTTGGATAACTTTTTACCTTCAAAAAATAAAATGAATAAAATTTTTTTTTCAAGGATCTGAAATGATAAATAGTAACAAATATGGATAAATAGAATAAAATCAGGAATGGGGCAAATACTTCCTAACACTACAGTATGCATCATGACATGAATTTGGCGCTGGAAATGAAAGGAGTGCCCACTGACCCAGGGCAATGATGAGATCTGGTTCTGGCTTATTGATTCATTTGCCAAATTGGTCTTGTAGCCTCTTTTATTTAATTCTTTTGAAATTGGGAGAAAAAATAGACATCAGAAAATACAGAGATGAGCCAAAACAGTGAAACCCCTCACAGATGAAGCAACTAATGTTGATTATCTTTTAACAATGGCGCATGTCATGGTCTGCAGACGGACCTTTGGCAGCAAGAAAACAGCTGATTATCTCAGTCAATATGATGGATGTGAGAAATGGGATCAGAGCAACTATGAAAAGGGATATCATTTGATGGGACAGACCATGAACTGGCTATAGGGTATTGGGTGCCCAAGGCTCATTGATGCATGAGGGCAATGAAGGCTATCCTGTCTTGTCTGGTTTTAAGGCAACTAGTCCCCAACTAGTGGACTAGCGCAGACAGCGTCAGATCCCCTTTCATTCACTATAGTCCATGTTCCAGATCATCAAATGGCTCTACAAAGCTTATGGCTCCACTGGGTTCTTCTCAAATGTCGGAGCATAGCTAATAGCCTCGCACCCGTACTCTCAACTGTCCAGTGACTCAACCCATCACACCTTCCAGGTTCTTTTCACTGGACCGTCATTCGTCTCCAACATGCAACAAATTAATAGACCTTACATACAACTACTATTTTAACAAAGTAATAAGTTCCAGTCATGTTCTACATCATTCTCAATTAAAGCAACCCTTCTGCCTTCCAGAACTATTCCAAGTGCAATAGAGCAGCTTCAGGTCCTCTCCACAGCATTTCCTGCATCAACCATGATGTCAACACATCCAACAGCGTACAGCTCTGATCCAATAAGAATTGCCCGCAGTTAGTGGGACAGGGTGTATTCCCCGTGGACGCTGGATGGGAAATTGGTATTTTCGTCAGTCATAAAATACTGAAGACACCTGCGTTACTTTTTGTGCCCCACTGCACTGGGTGTAAAGTAGAGGACTTAGTGTCCCAAATATGTAAAGACTGAGGAAATCAGTAGGGGGGAATACTTTTTCACCCACTGCAACATTCCAGATATTTTGTGATATAAATTCTAGGGGATATTGCCCCAGGCGTTTTTTGTATTTAGATTTATAAGGTCAGTGTGGGTTTTTACCTTTTGACCCTTGTGATGATCTGTTTTTATGATGTGCAATTTTCATGTCTTATCTTTCTGTATATCTTGAAAGTCTGACAGATACATTCTTCCAGGAATGTGAAATACTGCAAGTGATTCAAAAACTGTGCTGTAAGTCCACAAATTTAACTCCTCTGCCAAAGTGTTCACCACTCTGTTTTGAAGTTTTGTGGTTTTTGTTTTTAGCCATTATGTTAGGAGACTGCTCTTTTTGTAAACACTGATCTGAGATATTATGTGTCAATAAAAACAAAATTTCAAAATTGGGCTTGATACAGTATTTATGAGGACAGGAATAATATATTCAAACAAGTAATGCATTTGCATATAAATATTCGTGGGAGGATAACACTTTGCAATGGGCTTGGCTGTTTTTAACTAAACCGCACAATTTGAGTTGTCTGCTGACTTTATTTCCCATGTTTGGGCACATAATTTATGAAACTCCAAACAATACTCAAGCATTAATTTACTTCCACCGGATTGAGTTGAAAATGGTGGTGGCCTAATGCTTAACAGCTATATTCCAAAATGAATCTTGTGTTGTTGCATAATCTTTACTAACTGTATCATTGCATTCGAAACAGCAATCTCGTTTTTCAGACTATTGTAATATGTTGTATGGTTCACAGTATTTGTGTTAATGCACAGGATATTATTAATTTATTTATGTCTAGTAGGGAGAGCAAGACTCAAACTGTCCTTTACAGGTGCCATATTATGCTGTTTTTGTTAGTCATTACATTCTTCGATGTAAGATTTGTACTTTTTGCAAAAAAAAAAAAAAATCTTGGCCATTTGCTGCATGTCTTTTCTACCCTCTGATGTGTTAAGCTTTAATATTAAGTTATATTCTATTTCCTTTCAGCTTGCTGTGGTAAGTGTGTGCAAGCACTATAAGCCCTAATGAGAATCTTGCTGACAATCTGCACCCAGACCCAGTAGACTCTCAACTATATGTCTACACAATAAACTTAATATCTCGGCACCAGTGGGGTATTGTTAGATCATTTTGAGGACGTTGCTATTGTGTCATGAAAATTTTTTTTCCCCATTCCTAATTTCTTCTATTTTCCCTTATTTTCACACTATTATTCTTCAAACTAATTGTTAATCTTCAAGCTAAATTTACCAAAAATGATAACCCAAATGAAAACAAAACAAAGCTATCCATTAACTGGCCCTGTGTGAAAAAAGGAATTGCCACCCTAGTTCACGCAATAAAAATGAAATAGATAATGACGTTAACTGACACTAGGGACAGGCATGCTTTTTACTGTCGTTACTGTTTAATTTAAGCATCACCTAAATATCCAGACATCACTTTCCAGCAATGTGAAGTTGACGAAGAGGTCACAGAAGATGCGCGCTATCTCAACATTAAAATTAATTCTGGAAGAGAAGGAATTTTATTGAAACGCATCAGTCAGGAAAGGGTTAAAATGCCATTTCTGAGACAAATTGCTGTCAGAGCCATTATTGTAGCCCCCGGACAAAGTCGGGTGGCTACTATGGATTCATGCCGTCGCTGAATCCGCGTCCGTAGACACTTCCTTGTGGATGTTGTACAGGCTATAATTTTTAACCAATTACTTTCATATTTAGTATGGACATGTGTTATACTTAAGTTATGACACCTATCTATTTTGGTTGCCATGGCGACAGTATTGCCCAAATAATGCACAAAGTTGTACTGAAACATAGAGATTTCCTCGTGGACGCATTACAGGCTGGAGAAGCGAGCTTTCCGGGGCTACACCCATGCGGTCGCAGATGACCGGACTGTCTAATCTCCAAATGGGGACAATTTGGAACGGAGGCGAATATTCCCCTGGAGTGGCCACCTAGCCAAAATTCCTTGAAGGGCACATCAAGGGCTCATTATTACTAAAGAACCCAAACAAATGTCTACAGAACTGCAGGCCTTGCTCGTCTCCGATAAGGTCAGCGTTCATGATTTCAAAATTTATAGTCAGAACATCATACCAGAAGTCAAACATGGAGGTGGTATTGTGATGATGTGAGGATGCTGTGCTGCTTAAGAGCCTGGGTCTCTTGCCATTATTGATGCTGCCTCTGGTAAAGTGAATTCTACACTTTACCAGAAAACCCTGAAGGAGAATATCTGTTATCAGTTTGTCCTCTGAAGCCTATACACAATAAGGTTGTGTAGCAAGAAAACAATCCAAAACACATGTAATTCTACCTCTGAATTGATCAGAAGAAGAAAAATTAACATTTGATTTTATTTGTCCAAGTCCATAATTGAACCTGAATTAGATTCTGTGTCAGGACCCTAAAGGGGTGGTTCCTATTCAAAACCCTCCAATGCTGCTGAATTTAAGCAAATCTGCTAATAAGAATGGGCCAACATTCCAACACAGAAATGTCACAATGTGATAGATCTCTAATCTGATCTCCCCAAAATGTTTGGTTACAGTTGTTGTGGCCAAAGGTGGCACAACCAGTTATTACATATAGGGGGTAATGACTTTTTTCACATAGGTGATACGGGTGATGGATAGCCTTTATCTTTCAATAAAATGAAATTAACATTTAAAAAGTGTATTTTGTGTTTCCTCAGATTCTCATGGCCTTATATTACCTTTTGTATAGAGACCTGAAACCTGTGTGTGACAAAAAAGTAAAAATAAAAGTAATTGGGAAGGTGGCAAATACATGCTGTCAGGCAGGAGTTCAAGGATGCCGTTATAACATTGGCATCTTCTTGCTGTATAATGCATTGTGAACTCACTATTCTGAAATATTTTGATGTTCATAATGAAAGATACTACAGTTTGTGGGGCGGCGTGGTGTAGCTGGCAGCACCATTGTCTCACAGCAAGAAGGTTATGCCTCGAATCTAGCTTGGGGCCTTTCTGTTTGAAGTTTGCTTGTTCTCCCCATATTTGCTTGGGTTATCTCTGGGTACTCCAGTATATTCCAAAAGTCCAAAGACATGAAGTTTGGGCTAAATGGAGGCTTTAAATTCCCCAGAGGTATTAGTGTGTGAGAAAATGGGATTGGTAAACTGTCCATGTGTATTTTTCGCTTCACACATTGTTTGCTAGGAAAAGCTCTAGCGACCTTGACTGGGAATAAGCTGGTAATGGATGTATAAATAATGGATGAATGGACAATAGATTTCCTCAATATAAGATACACTTCATCAAATCCCGTGGAGTAATTTGTTCTCCGTATTTGACCCATCCTAATTACTGAGGAGCAGTAGGCAGCCACAGTGTAGCACCCAGGGTCCAACTCCAGTTCAAAAGCCAGATCTTTGGTCAGAGGCACTGGTAGGAGTGTTCATACAGTGCATGTATTTCTGGGGTAAGGGAAAGCCGCACAAACACGTGGGAAACATGCAATCTCCACACAGAGAGGCCCTAGCCGGCCAGGACGTGAACCTGGAACCTCCTTATTGCAAAGCAACAGTGCTAACCACTGCACCACCTCAGTGCATTGGTGATTTAGGAGATGTTTGGTACATTGAAACACCCATTGTTGCAGAGTGTGAGTGTGGACCAGTGAAGCTGCTGTTCGTGCTGGACAGCTCGGAGAGTGTTGGTCTGCAGAATTTCACCCTGGAGAAAGAATTTATAATTCGTGTCATCAACAAGATCACCAAGTTCAGTAAGAATAAGGTGAGTAAACAAATAAAATATCAGCAAGAGTAAAGATCAGAGGGGTTTATGGTGGGCATTACTGGAATATTTTGGTCTTGTCTTGAAAGTACTCTTTTCAATGTAGCCTATCAGTTACTCATTTCATCAATTTGAGTATTTGTACTAAATGCCATTGTTAGCATGACAAATTTAGGTTTCCTTGTGTTTATGTATGATACTGAACAAAGCAAACAATTTTTACTACAAAATGAACTGAAAGTGGACTTGTGTATTCAGAATGACCCTGGTTCTCGAGTGGGCGTGGTGCAGTACAGCCACGAGGGAACCCAGGAACTGGTGTCCATGGATGACCCCAAAATCACATCTCTGCCTCAGCTTAAAAGGTCAGGTTCTCTGATTAAACCTTATATAATTCACAGCTAGAGATAAACCTGAGTTCTCACGTGACCAAAACAAGTCAAATGTTCACTGTAATTCATTCTTTTTATTTTTGTTGGTGGGCGGGGTGGGGTGGGGTGGGCAGTAGCTGGGGTGGGCTTTCCGGCTTGAAGCTGGCATAGGGTGGGGATGCGGAAAAACCATTCAATGCCTTTTCTGGCATACTGCCAAATGCTGTGCTTGCGCATATCACTCTTAACAGAAAGAGTTGATGGCTTCAAATAACTGACACGTTAGACCATTTTGTGACCACAGATTTTAAAAGCTTAAAAGCCTTGGCAAATAGAAAAGAATTAATAAACACTCAAATTCAAATGCTTTTGTACATTTCAAAAAGCAAGTCAGATGAAAATAGATAAACGTCATGGTTTCTCGTATTAGGTGCTGAAATCTCAAAGTCTGTCGTACCTTCAATTATCAAAGAGTTCTTTCTGCATATCGATCATTTGCTAATGATTTTAAGCCCTTAGAACTTGTTACAGAATGATCCAGTGGTTCAGCTGATTCTATGAAGCCATCACTATTTCCATTTTCAGTGAAATGCTGCAATAGGTAAGACAAGCTATGTTTTCGCCGTAACTTAAAACTGAAGGTAACCAGTTGAAAATAACTTTAAACAAATTGTTTATATGTGTGTGTGTGTGTGTGTGTGTGTGTGTGTGTGTGTGTGTGTGTGCGTGCATGCGTGCATGTGTGTGTCTGTGCATCTGTGTTTGGGGTTAAACCATGCTGGGGAAGTGTTGAATGGATGCAGCCACTTAGCTGTGGATAACTTGAAACCACGTTTTGAAAGCCTAAACTCGTGCTGCCCTATGTGGTCCTAATATTCTAGTTGCAATTTTTTTCTATCTCCATTAAGTTGGAGGTTTTGTAGGGGACAATTAAGTATTTCCCACAAAAACAGCAACATAATGTTGCAAAATATAGTTAGCAAGCCAATAATAAATATAAATGTAGTGATTAATGTTAAATAAAATTGTGACTGTACAGTATTGTAGAATATGCCAGGTTTTTAAGCAAACAGTGTTCAAATCTTTATTAGGGAGGGGCGGTCCTTAAACCCCCCACTTTCTACACGGAGAGGTCTCCCCTGACCACCTGTCCCGGCCCAAGTAACACCCCCCACCACCCCCACCCGAACACTAATATCAAACTCCACCTACTGTACAATCCTGATTTCAGAGCAGTGAAGAACATGCGGTGGATTGCAGGAGGCACATACACTGGGGAAGCTCTAGACTTTGCACGCAGGGCCTTTGGCAACTCCCAGCTGTCCAGTAAGGTGGTAATTGTGCTGACAGATGGCAGGTCAGACACCCGGGACTCCAAACCCCTGTCCTCTCTCTGCGGTGTGCCCAATATCAGGGTAAGCAAGGGGCTGGGAGAAGAAAAAGACGCCGGTGGTAGATGATGGATGACGCATTTGTTCATGAGATGCAGAATGGAGCATTTTTTGTTCCAAATTATTTTTCTATTTAATTTGTTGAACCACATTTTCATTTGGTCTGCTTGATGGAAGTATGCTTTTCTAATGAATCATCTTAAGTTGGACATTCTACCAGAAATGTCCATTATCTGTCCTGGAATTTTTACAGTGAATAAAACTTGCATAACCCAAAAATTTCTAAAACTGATTGATTAGAGTGTTGATTTCTGGGAGATCACAGACAATGTGTCTTCCAGGCTAAATAGGAGAGGGCCCTATTTTTCGCTAAAAATAATAAAATACCACAGTTCTGCTTCAAGTAAGCTCGCGCATTCAACGGAAGTCCCGCCTCCCAGCTCGTTCCCAGAAACTAATAAAGTTTTTGAAACACGTCTTCTCCCTTCTCTCAAAAACTTTATTAGCTTCCTCAGGTTCGCTTCCTCAGGTTCGCTCTTTCGCAAAAGAGCGAAACTGACGAAGCGAAGGTGAAACGCGTTGTTTGCTCCTAAATAAAACTCAGTTAAGAGTAATCAGTGTGCGGAGACTTTTCTTATTTTATACCACGGTAGATACAATTAGGGATATGTGATCAATAATTAATGCTATTTATATCAAAAAAAAAGTCATGAGGAAAGTATTCCAACACACACATCTGTCTATGACAGGACCTGACAGTTTAGGGTTGAAATACATATAAAACTATTCAAGCATGAAAACATGCTGAGATGGCATGTATGTGTTTCTCATAGTTTAAGGGGTGATCTGGGGTTAAATGAAAAATGACACCAGGAAACAACTCAGAATTAATCTAAAGAGGTATATGTAATAACCACCAAAAAAGATACAAGTTGGCATTTTTCTGTTTATGCGGTTGCTATGGTAACCGAGCAAGCTCATTATGCAGAAAACTTCTGGCACCAATTCCTCTTTAACTCTATGATAGAATTCAATTTTTCTTTCATCATTTAAAAGCCATTGCTTATCCAAATGCAATGACATAGCCAGTCTTTGCCCAATTTATCAGTTTTGTGATTTTGGGGCATTTTACTCAAATTTTGAAATTATTTTGCGCAGAATCTGACGAATACTCAAAATATTCAAAGTATGTAACAGATAGGCAAAATTTCCCTTATGTCATTGCGTTTCTAATGAAGTAAAGTACCTGCAGCCCAAATTTCATTGATTTTCAATGATAAATAAAAAAGTTATGGCTGCCACAAACATGAGAAACGTGGAAAAAGTAATACCTTAGGAAATCAATGGAAAATGCATTAGACCGCATTGAAAAGTTGAGTTCAGTCTTAGTCTGTGGCTTACACCCATTTTTCGGACTGTATTATCTGATTATTCAAATGTTTATCACTTTCCTGGAGTGAAAAGCATAAATTTCATTATCACAGTTGCTTTTAAATCATGATTTTATGGCAAAATTCAGCTTTTAATCCTTAGTGATTATTAAAGGTGGGTTATCATAGAATATTTTTATTCAAAAAAAATTTTTGGAAAAGTAATCAAATTTTGCCCATTTAACCCCAGATCACCCCTTAACATGTTCATATGACTGAATGTTCAGATCCAAGAAAAATACATACATTCAAATTCAAAAAGATTTTTTGAAGTGGAAATGTACATTTCTGGTAGAATCTCCCGAATATTTTGTAAATTTTTGAAATTTCACCAGACAAAAACAACATATTTGTTGTAATAATTTATCTGCTGTGTATCTACAGAACAAAATATTCATACAGTATTTAGCAAATTATGAATCTTTCCATGAATCTGCGCAAATCAGAACTACACCGTGTCCCAAAAGTTCATGCACCACAGAAAAAGTTGACTCAGATTGTGAATATTCAACAGAATGCGTTTATTCAAAAGCCAGTGTATCCCCCCTGCATCTTAATTACTGCCCTCAGCCTGTGGGGCATAAATGCACTAAGTTGTTTCAAACGGAAGGCTCAAAGTTGCCCCACTCCCGCACAGCCCTCGCATTGAGCTGCTTCATGGTGGTAGGGGGTGGGCTGTGGAAGACCCGACTGTTCAGGATACCCCAGGAGTTCTCAATCAGGTTGAGGTCCGGGGAGTTGGGTGGCCATTCCTCTTTGCGCAGAAAGCCAGGAAGCTGCTCAGAACACCACTGCTGAGTTGAACTAGCAGTATGTGCGGGGGCACCATTTTGCACGAAGACCATTTCCGCACGCCTGTTGAACATCTTCCTAGCAGTGACGGGGCCCGATTTCTTTTTTCTGGTGAGTATGGGAAGTAGTACTGGCTGGAGAATGTTCTTGACATAATACTCAGCATTGATGGAGGTGCCCTGGGGTACAACATGCAACTCCAACTGCCCTGAAGATGACATCACCTCCCAGACCATGCAATGGGCGCTGAACTTGACTTGTTCGGAAGGTGACACTTTCTTTCGATTGTTGGTGTAGATGCGGTCGTTTTGGCTGTTGGGGGTTGGAAATAAGTAGAGTGGGCCCTCATCAGAAAAAACAGTTTTCCCAGTGTCTTGGTGTCATTGTGGCAAACTTCTTTGTAAAAGCCAGCCGCTTCTCCTTTTGCAGTTTGGTAAGGCGAGGAATCCATTGTCTTCTGTATGCTCTCAGACCCAGTTTCTCATTTAGAAAACGATGGATGGTACTGTTAGAGACTGCTTCCCCAAGACTCTCCAGTCTTCGACTGAGTCTGCGGCAGGATTGGTGTCTCTTTCCCTTGGCCTTCCGGATGAGGTCCTTGGCCCTGGAACTCAGGACTGAGGGGCGACCTGCGCGGGGCTCGTCTTCAAGGGAGTCACAACTCTGGTGTCTCTGCCACCACTTCTTCACCCATCGTATGCTTCTGCCAAGGTCCTGAGCTCCTCCCTGCAAGCTTTCCCTGCCCTGCGCAAGGCAATGGCTTGAGCACGGACCTGAGGCTCTGAAAGAGCAGTCTTTCCAGGTTTTTGTTTGGCCATCGTGGCAGCACT